TGGCGGCTTCATGCCTGGAGGCGCCCATCACTCAGACCGGCGGAAACACTTGAACCATGGGTGTCCAGCCTTCTTGCAGCACCAGCACGCTCCCTCTATTCGGGTATTCCCCCTGCCACCAGAGCTTCCATGCCCCTCGTTATAGTCACCTCGGCCTCTCCCTCTACCAAAGCCTCTCCCACGGCCTTGGCCTCTTCCACCCCCTCTTCCTCTGCTGCCTCCTGCAGCTCTGTACCCCTCAGCAGTCTTGTCGGTAGCACCACCACCCGTGTGGCGTCTGTGGAAGTCCTCCTGCAGAATCTATTGCCGTAGCCACTCAGGTATCCACTAGTCTTGCTGAGTGTTGAGGGTGGGGATGAGGTTGTTTCATGAATTGTCAAGCACCGAGATGATCTTGGTGCACTGCTGCATCTCCGACACTTTGCTACCCGCTGCTGCCATCCTCGCATAGGTGTCCTTGATCTTGTCAAGGACCGGCTTCACATCGTCTCCCTGTCGCATGAAGAGGACAGTCAACTCCTTCTCCAACACAATCACCATCGGCAGCGTGTAGGGCTGAATGACATCGCGCACTAGCTTCCACGCCTTCGGTCCCGAATCATCGAGCTCCACCAAATCCTTGATGTGCTGGAACATGTCTTTGTTGACCGATTGAAGGATAAGGTCGTACAGCACCGCGTTTTTCTCAATCCACCGATCGCGGGCATCTCCTTCCTCTAGCATCTTCTCTTCTCCCACAGCAATTTTCAGCAGCTTGTAGCGATTGAACGCACTCCGCATCCGCCCGCTCCATTCCTCATAGTTGGAGCCATCCAAAGCCTCGATCTTGGATGGTGGCCGCTCATTCCTCTTCTCAGCTGCATCTCCACTCCCTTGACTAATTTCCTCTGCTCCCAGTCACAAGTTTCAGCTCCCCTCTTTGCTGGACACAATGTAGATCCACAAAAACTTCACAACTAACGGCGCCAACGAAATTTTGGCAGAGTTTCCCGTTAGCGGAAGTCACAACCAGCCTCTAGAACTCCACTTAGGCACGCCCACAGGCCATGGTGGGTCTAGGAGGTTCTTCACAACTCAGTAGACTCTGATACCACTTGTTACTGACTTAGGACGGAGTCTATGAAGATTGGGGGCCGAAATATCACGAAATCGTTGGTCTAAAGTTCTGGACAGAAACGTCGAGTTCACAAGAAACGCCATCGACGGAAAGTGAACTGTTGAAACTTCACCAATTTCAGATATGGTGTAGCTCTAGTCCGTGGCTACAATTCTCAATTTGAATCGTATGGAAAGGTGAAGTATTTCTTGAGTTATGAGTTTTGGCGCACTAGGGGGTATGCTACCACATAAACTAAACTCAATATATCAACTCACAAGTACCACACAAGAAAGTTAAAGTGGCTAGAAACCAGGTAGGAGGGAAGAGGAGGACGAGGGGAAGGTCCCCAAGGAGTTCCCAACCAAGAAAACCCCATACCACACAATTTCCCTCCCTATAGGCACCCCAACTTTGACATTTGTCACTTTCCCAACCTCCACAGTCCACCTGCCCCAAGTTGACCACACTTGCCAACTCAATTTGGTTTCTCCCAACCACTTGGCAGCATATACAGTGATGGGGACGAATTTCCCAACCCCCAAAAGTCTGTACTCCATATTGAGTCACTCAACAAACTTCCCAAAGTCGTCGCATCCCAATAAAATACTTCGAACAAACATAACTTCGTCGTTCTTGCTCCGATCGCGACGTCTCTTGGTTCGTCGGAAAGCTCTTGAGCAGAGGATTTACTCCAGATATCTGCTCAAGCCAAATGGTATTCAAACACACTCAGAAAATTCAAACCACACCGAACACCTTGCACACGCTCACACCACGCATGCAACGCATGAACATATGATGGGAGGCACACAGACGTGAATGCAAATGATAGCATCACACAACACCCCTCGCTGCTCTCTAGTCCCTCACGAGAATGTGAGCACCTCTCTCCTCCCTCAACGCAATGCCAGCACCTCTCTCGCCCTCCATGCCTTGTCAGCACCTCTCACCCTCCATGCCTTGTCAGCACCTCTCTCACCCTCCATGCCTTGTCAGCACCTCTCGCCCTCCATGCCTTGTCAGCACCTCTCTCGCCCTCCATGCCTTGTCAGCACCTCTCTCTCCCTCCATGCCTTGTCAGCTCTTCTCTCACCCTCTGTGCCCTGTTAGTCCAACAAAATCTTCTTGTGACTTCACCCAAAAGCCTTTCTCTCTCTCCATCTCCCGATTGTGTTCCCCCACCCCAATGCCACGCGCAGCTTCCTGTGCTGCAACCGCTTCAATGGTTCCATACCGCCCGCCTTCGCCAGCAACGGCTTCACCGGCTTGTATGCCATGTGCCATGCTCCATCCACCATGCGTCGACATCATGTGCCATGCTCCATCCACCATGCAGCGTTTGCCATGCGACATGCGCCATGCTCCATGCGCGATGTAACATGGCATGCCCTCCCTCCTCTCTCCAGCAAGCATCCATACATCGTACTCCTCACATCCAGTTCAGCCCTTTGTTGTCACACCTACTCGAAACACCAAATTCTCCTCCTTCTGCTCCATCCTCGCCTCATCATTTTCTCGCTCCCACCTCCGCCCTGTCCTGACCATGTCCTACCTGTGACATGCCACCTTGTCCCCCCTCCCCCACCATGGTCTTCATGAGTGGACTCAAAGCTCACCTTGTCCCCCCTCCCCCACCATGGTCTGCAAGTGACGTGTCAGTGAACGACCTCACAGGGCCGCTGCCCTCCGGCCCTAAACCTGCTGATGGCCTGAATTTGTGAGCCCCTCTGCTTCTGCCCCCTTTGCATATGCCCCCTCTGCTTCTGACCTTTCTGCTTATGCCCCCTCTGCCTTTCTGCTTCTGACCTTTCTGCTTCTGACCTTTCTGCTTCTGACCTTTCTGCTTCTGACTTTTCTGCTTCTGACCTTTCTGCTTCTGACCTTTCTGCTTTTGACCCTTCTGCTTCCGCCCCCTCTGCTTCTTCCCCCTCTGCTTTGGAGCTCTCCGCTTGTGAGGCACACTCTTCGCCGTCCATCCAAATGCTTTTCTTTCCAACCTGATCTCTCTCCTCCTTTCACTGCCTATGAATTTCTCTCACTGTGGGCTGCTGTGTGCCCCTGTGCCCCTGTGCCTCCCTGTGCCTCTTTGTGCCCCCTGTACATCCCTGTGCTCCGCTGTGGCTCTCTCTGCCTCCCTATGGTTTCCTATTCCTCCCTATGTGCTCCTGTCCGCCCCCGTGCACCCCTGTGCACCCCTGTGCAACCCCGTGCACCCCTGTGCACCCATGTGCACCCCTGTCTGGCAGCAACGTCTCGTACAACCGCCTCTCGGGGGAAATCCCCTTCGACTTCAACGTCTCCATCTTCTCCACCCTGTGAGTCGCCCCTCCCATTCCTACACCCTGTGCGTCGCCCCTCCCCCTCCCTTTACACCCTGTGCGTCGCCCCTCCCCCTCCCTCTACGCCCTGTGCATCGCCCCTCCCCCTTGTTTCATGTGGTTCTCAAGGACTCTCACTAATCACATGCAACAAGTCGCACACATGCAACAAGTCGCACACATGCAACAAGTCTCACACATGCAACAAGTCGCACACATTCAACAAGTCGCACACATGCAACAAGTCTCACACATGCAACAAGTCGCACACATGCAACAAGTCGCACACATGCAACAAGTCGCACACATGCAACGAGTATCACACATGCAACGAGTCTCACACATGCAACAAGTCGTACACATGCAGCAAATCGCACACATGCAACAAGTCGCACACATTCAACAAGTCGCACACATGCAACAAGTCGCACCCATGCAACAAATCTCACACATGCAACAAGTCGCACACATGCAACAAGTCGCACACATTCAACAAGTCGCACACATGCAACAAGTCTCACACATGCAACAAGTCGCACACATGCAACAAGTCGCACACATGCAACAAGTCTCACACATGCAACAAGTCGCACACATGCAACAAGTCGCACACATGCAACAAGTCGCACACATGCAACAAGTAGCACACATGCAACAAGTCACACACATGCAACAGTCTCCCTGGAACAGTCCTTAGTCATCCAATAAATTGGGGAGAGCACAGCACCGCCAAGTCTGTAATAGGAATACCAGCATCATAACTAGGCAAGCTGCTTGGCAAGAGGCTCTGAGAGATGAGCCTTTGGCAAGCAGCTCTAAGCGAGCGCGAGCGAGCGCTGAGCCTTTGGCAAGCCCCCACCACCTTCGCCCTCCATCGCTCCCCGAACCCAGGCTTTAGCCACCCACCCCCTAACCTTGTTTTCGCACCCTCCACCACCCTCATCTAACACTCCCCCTTTTTATCCCTCTCCCAAACCATTTCTCTGCTCTAAAATGCTGCCTCTTCCTGCCATGGTTTCCCTCCCTTTCCAGTGACATCTCACAACAATTTATCGGGCAGAGCATTCTTTTCCGGGCAAAAGGGGGCAGCATTCTTTTCTCTCATCTCTACCATATGCGTGAGGTGTTTAAGCAGCATGGTGGTGAGTGCGTGAGCAGCAGATTGATCATCCATGCGTGAGAAGACACCCACAGCAACACACAGGCATCAGCCATGGACTCTGACGACCACTTTCTACGATCATCCCTTCCACCTTTGCACCTAGCACCGTTCCTTCTCATCATCTCAGCACCCTCACCCCCTGCCCATCCATTCACCACACTCCATTCCATCACCCTGTCTCCCTACCCCCGCACCCATCACCATCCCCTCTTCCCTCTCCCCGCTTCATCCCCTCGGCACCGCTCCCCTCTTCCATCCTCCAGCAACTTCGCGCACAACAGGTTCTCGGGAGCACTCGATCGCTCCCTCTCCACCCTCACCTACCTCTCCCACCTGTGCGTTGCCCTCACCTTACCACATCTCTGCCCTCCTGCCCTTCCCACCTACCACCTCCGCATTGCCTTGCCCTTCCCACCTGTCTATGCACTATGCATATCCCTTTCTGTTGCCCCTTGCTCTCATGCCTCACACCCATGCTTTCCTTAACCTCCCCTCCCCTCCCACCCCCATTGCCTCTCTGTCTCACCTATCACAGCCCCAAGCCCCTCTGTATGGTATAGCTTCTCCTATCACCCCTCAGACTCTCCGTGTTTCCTTCCACCGTGTCCCTGTACTCTCTCCCCCCCCTCAGGGACATGTCAGGCAACCTCCTCACAAGGTCCATTCCAGCCTTCATTTCGCAACTCACCTCACTCACTCTACTGTATGCCCTTGCGCTGCTATGTGCGCTTTATTTGCTGTGTGCCCTCGCTCTGCTGTCCATTGTTCATGCGTGGGTGGTAGAGCAAGGTGGAGTGAAGATATTAATTTTCACACTCCTTGCTGCTCCGCTTTTCCACAATAGCCTCTCTCCTTGTGTCCACCCCTCTCCCTGCCCTCACTCCACTCCTCACCTCCGCACCTCTCCCTGCCCACATTCCACTCCCCACCACCACATTCCACCCCTCTCCCGCCCCTGTGGCCGCCCTCCTCACCTGCAGCGACCTCTCTTCCAACCAGTTCACTGGCACCGTGCCGCCAGTTGTCAGCAACCCCACTGACCTCGTCAGCATGTGAGATGACATGTCAGCAAATGTGAGGTGCCATATCAGCATGTGTGGTGGTATGTGCGCGTGTGATATTGCACGTCAGATTACATGGTACGTCTCTATCACAGCTTGATTTTGACAACTCTTGCTCCTACCCACCCCCACCCACCCATGTCTACCCATGTCCACCCCTTTCCCCCCTGACCAGCAACCTGGCACACAACCTGTTGCAGGGCTCCCTTCCCCGGGCTCTCTCCCGCCTCTCCTCCCTCACCTACCTGTGCGCCCTCCTCTCCCTTGCTCGCCGCTGCTCCTTCTCGTCATGCCATGTCTTGCTCCATGTCGTGCTATGTCATGCACCACGTCATACCTTGCAATTTTACTCGATTCTTCGCACTGGCATGCCTACTTGCATGCCATAGGCCATGCCTTATGTGAAATACCATCACCCAATAACCTATACCCCATACTTCACATCTTAAGCTTCATTCCTTGTACCCCATACCCACTCATGCCCCGTCCTAGCAACGTGTCGTCCAATCAGCTGTCAGGAGACATCACAACGGCCTTCTCTCCTCCGCGCTCCCTCGAGATTGTGTGAGGCCCTTATGTGGGCAGCGGTGTGGGGCTAGTGGCATGGGGCTTGCAGCATGGGGCATGGGGCATGGGGAATGGAGCATGGGGCATGGGGAATGGAGCATGAGGCACGGAGAATGGCACATTGGGCATGATGCATGGGCACGGCACGGTGCAGGGGGCACATCGTACCAGCTTACCACACCATTAATTTGCCCATGCTGTATCACTATGGGTGTCTCCCGTTCCTCTCCCTCTGCATTCTCATATCCCCTCGCCTCCCATCACTTCATCTCCGCCAATCTCTGTCCTTTACCCCCCATGCCCTGTCATATTCCCCCATCCCTTCATGCTCCACAGTGACATCTCAGCCAACGCATTTAATGGCTCTGCTCCGCTTTTCTTTGGTCACATGCCCAACATGACCCACCTGTATGGCATGACCCACCTGTATGGCATGACCCACCTGTATGGCATGACCCACCTGTATTGTTGTAATTTCATATTCTATACAACATGCATAGGCTAGAATTAGATATTGTAGCTCTCTTATAACTTTGGGGGCTGTTTAGTGTTGTGTACCTTCCAACCACATTATGTGGTTGGTGGGGATTGGTCCTTAGCTCAACCAATCCCAACCAGCACACACTTGTGGTTGCTTGGGCCACAAGCAAGCTCACCCATTGGCCAACTTATTGGCCAATGGGGTAAGCTTCCCTCACATCTCTCTCTTGCTCATTGCTTGTACTAAAGAGCCTCTTGGCTCATTATTCAATGTATCAATTCTAGCTTTTCAACATGTATGGCATGACCCACATGTATGGCCACAACATGCCTATATGCATGTATCGGCCCTATATGGACTCCGCATGCCTGTTTGTGAACCACTATATTATTTCTCGTGGAGCATGTCGTGTCTTGAGATGTCAGCTTGCCATGTCATGACATCTGATGTCAGCATGAGCCATCCAGCCCACGGTAGAGACACATGGACCTCCACCCCCCTGCTTTCGCGTATGCCATGGCAGGGACATGGCAATCAACCTTCTCTCCGGCTCACTGCCTCCACCTGTCAGTCAACTTCCCTATCTACACCACCACCCATCACTAATTTCCAACATCAGAACAGCAGTGTCTATCTAGCAACCAGCCATTCAACTTGGATTCCTTCATCCTCACCATCGTTTCTCATGTCGTCTCACCATCGCCCCTCTGCCCTCTCTCCCCCTGTACCCTGCCATGCCACACAACTCACCATCGCAGCAACGTGTCTCGCAACCACCTCTCAGGCCCTCTGCCCAACGCTGCTGCCAGTCCAGCTCTCATCATGTGCGTATGCCCTGGTAACCACGAGATCCCTGCAAACCATTGCATTTGAATCTTGCAAGTAAAAACTCCTATCCCCTTCCTTCTCTTCTCCCCCTCCCCTTTCCCTCCTGCACCCTCTCTTTCCTTGTGCGTGTTCTCCCATTTCCGCCCACCCATGTATCACTCTCTCCCTTATACCCCACCCATGCCTCTCCCCCCCTTCAACTCCCATCCATGCCTCTCTCCCCCTTCAACGCCCATCCATGCCTCTCTCCCATATTACCGCCCGACACACTCAACATGTATGCAACACGCTCCCATTGCCGTAGCGACCTCTCATTCAACGTGCTCTCAGGGTCGCTGGAGAGCCCTCATGCTGTGAGTGTGGGGCCATGCTTTGATTCTGGGGCCATGCTGTGAGTGTGGGGCCATGCTGTGAGTGTGGGGCCATGCTGTGAGTGTGGGGCCATGCTGTAAATGTGGGGCCATGCTGTGAGGGGGGTTATGCTGTGAGGGTGGGGCCATGCTGTGAGGGGGGTCATGCTGTGAGTGTGGGGCCATGCTGTGAGTGTGGGGCCATGCTGTGAGGGGGGTCATGCTGTGAGTGTGGGGCCATGCTGTTAGTGTGGGGCCATGCTATGAGTGTGGGGCCATGCTATTAGTGTGGGGCCATGCTATGAGTGTGGGGCCATGCTGTGAGGGGGGTCATGTTGTGAGTGGCACCACATGCTGTTGCTCTTACTCTCGTTAGCCAAGCTTCGCTGCTCGTGCCGTCTTTGAGTCATGCTCTTCTTGCTGGCTTGCGTCCCCTGCCCCGCCATCGCGCATGCCTTCCCCTGCTTCTCTCCCACCCGCTCCCCATTTCTCCCCCCTGCCACCCCTTACTTCTCTCCCACCCGCCCCCGATTCCTCCCCCCTGCCTCTCGTCCATCCCCCATGCGCCCTCTTTCTTTCCTGCCAGCCCAGCCCCATGCGCCCTCTTGCTTTCCTGCCAGCCCAGCCCCATGCCCCTCCTGCTTCCCAACCGCCCATCCCTGCTTCCCGTCCCCTCCCCCCCTGCTTCTCGTCCGCCCATGCCTGCAGGGCGCTGCACCATAACCAACTCTCCGGCCCCATCCCCGAGTACCTCTGCCAATCCGTGCTGCATATCATGTAATGCTCACATGCTGTAACATCCACATGCTGTAACGCTCACATGCTGTAACGTCCACATGCTGTAACGCTCACATGCTGTAACGTTCACATGCTGTAACGTCCACATGCTGTAACGCTCATATGCTGTAACGCTCACATGCCGTAACGCTCACATGCTGTAACGCTCACATGCTGTAACGCTCACAAGCTGTAACGCTCACATGCTGTAACGCTCACATGCTATAACGCTCACATGCTGTAACGTCCACATGCTATAACGTCCACATGCTGTAACGTCCACATGCCAACATTCACTCGGTGCACCATCCACATTAAGCAACACTCTCACCATGCCATGTTTGGAAAGTGTTATGTGCAGATGACTTAGCATTCACACAGTGCAGCATTCAGGTTATGTTACCCTCGGGCCCAGGAGCAAGCAGGCCGGTATGAATGTGGGCATCTATGTCGAGATGCCCTGGTGACAATAAAGGCTTGTCATCCAGGCATTGTCATCCATGCATTGCCATCCATGCATTGCCATCCATGCATTGCCATCCATGCATTGCCATCCATGCATTGCCATCCAGGCAGGTTTGAATGTGTCCATCCATGAAGAGATGCCCTTTATCGTGCAAGCAAAGTCTTGCACTGGTGACAATGCATTGCACAGGCGCCAATGCATTGCACTTTCACCCTGCGCTAGTTGCTTCCTCCCTACTGCCTTGTCATCTACCCACACCCACACCCTTTTGCACTTTATCTTGCTTGCTTCCTCACCTCCTCGCTCCCCTCACCCTCTCCCCTTCTCGCGTTCTCCCATTGCCTCTTTTTCCCCATGTCTCCACCTGCCCACCTTCCCACCTGCCCACCTTCCCACCTGCCCACCTTCCCACCTGCCCACCTTCCCACCTTCCCACCTGCCCACCTTCCCACCTGCCCACCTTCCCACCTGCCCACCTGCCCACCTGCCCACCTTCCCACCTGCCCACCTTCCTACCTGCCCACCTGTCCTATGTGCCCACCTTCCCATGTGCCCACCTATCCCATGTGCCCACCTGTCCCATGTGCCCACCTTCACATGTGCCCACCTGTCCCATGTGCCCACATTCCCATGTGCCCACCTGTCCCATGTGCCCACCTGTCACATGTGCCCACCTGTCCCATGTGCCCACCTGTCCCATGTGCCCACCTTCACATGTGCCCACCTGTCCCATGTGCCCACCTTCCCATGTGCCCACCTGTCCCATGTGCCCACCTGTCCCCCGTTCCACCTTCCCACCCGTCCACCTGCCCCCCCATTCCACCTGCCCCCCCATTCCACCTGCCCCCCCGTTCACCTGCAGGCTCCTGGGTGTGCAACGCCTTCTGGGGGGCCCTCACTCAGTGCCTGCCCTTCGTCTCCTCCATCCAACTCATGTACGTTTGGCCTTTCACCCTTCACCCGTCGCCCTTCAACCTCCACCCTTCGCCCTTCAGTTTTGCCCCTTTCGCTCATCACCCTAATGTTAGTCTCATTCCTCTTTCTCTCCGCTGCTCCTCTTGTCGCACTTTCGTTTGTAACCTTCGACCTCAAATCGTGCTGCGAATTCCACTTCCTTACCTTTCAGGCCATCTCTGCTCCTGACCTCTCCTCTTTCCCTTGACCCCTGCGCCCCCTTACTCTGCATCTGTCTCCCAGTGACGTCAGCAACAATCTCCTCTTCATGGACGCCACAACCTTCCAAAACATACCGCCCATCAGCCTGGACCTCAGCGGCAACTACCTCTACGGCTCCTTCACCCCCTCCCCCAACATCAACCTCTCCTCCTCCTCCTCCTCGCCCCCCCTCCCTTCACTCCTCCCAGCGACCCCCCAACCCCAGTCCCTCCCCCCCCCTGAAAATTCCAGGATATATCGAACTCTCAGTGGGCATGTGTGTGGGTGACGCAGGGGGAGCAGCAGGAGGGAACTGCAGCAGGAGGGGAGGGTGGGGGGAATAGTAGTGCAGTGGCATGGCTGGCTATGGAAAGGAATTGTATGGGGAGTGAGGGGGTGGGGCAGCAGTGGGGGCCGACAGAGTGTGCGGCGGTGTGTGGGATAGAGTCAGGGCAGGGCCCCTGTGGGGGTGCGGGTGCGGGGCAGTGTGTGGTGCAGAGCGGTTGGCCGCCATCCCTCTCCTGCTCCTGTGCCAGTGGTTACGTTTCTATCACTACTACTGGCACTGCCAACACTACCACTTGCCAACTGTCGCCCCCTTCCCCTCCTGGTGTGTTGAATCAGTGGCTTCAGCTGTTGTCGTGCTCGCGTCTACCCAACCAACCCTCTTTGCTGCCTTCTTTTGCTTCTCTCCCCCACTCCATTTCCCTCTCTTATATCTCAACGCCATTACCCCTCTTTGTCTCAATCTCTCCCTTCTTCCCCCGCTTTCTCCCCCTCTTCCCCCAACTTCCTCCTCTCATCCCCCCCTTCCGCCCCTCGTCCCCCCATTCCCCCCCTCTTCCCCCCCCTTTCCCCCCTCATTCCCCCCAATCCCCCCCCTTCCCCCCCCCACTTCTCGCTATCTTCCCTCCCTTCCCCCCCCACCTTCCCCCTCTTCCGCCCTTCCCCCCCCCTTCCCCAACCCTTCCCCCCCCCCCTTCCCCCCCCGCCTTCTCCCCTCGTCCCCCCCCTTCCCCCGCTCGTCACCCTGCTTTCTCCCCATCGTCCCCCCCCTTCCCCATCTCGTCTCCCCCTCGTCCCCCCACCTTTCCCCCCTCATCCCCCCCCGTTCCTCCCTTCGTCTCCCCACCTTCCCCCCATACCTGTGTCATGAACGTTTTGTTACCCATATCTTATCACTCCCGTGCCTCCACGGCTCCCGCTAACCATCGCCGCGTTTCCCTTGACCCCCCATGCTTTGGCAGTGGCCTCTCTGTCCACGGGTGCCATAATGGGCATCGTTCTGGGCTGCTTTTCTGACGTCACCCTGCTGGCTGCTATGCTCGCATGGTTGATGTGGCCCCGCGGACCAAGTGAGCCCCTCCACCTTCCTTCGCCTCCTTTCTGTCTCCCCTAATGCTGTACTTGTTTTCTGGCCTCCTTCTTTGCTCAATTTCCCTGTCGTTTTCCTTGTATTAAAACTCTGCCTTTCCACTACCCTTGTGCTCTCTCTACTCATCTACACACTTGGTCACTCGTTCCTCTTGGTCCCTATCCCCCCTTGCCCTGCTATGTGCACAGAGAAGTGGGAGGGGTTGGATGTGTGTGAGCAGTTCTCGCCACAGCAGATGCTTAGGGCCACCAACAACTGGTCGGAAGACAATGTGCTGGGCAAGGGTGGCTTTGGCGTTGACTAAGCACTCCACCATCATGACCAACGACTTTGAAACGGAGGTGAGACACCATCGTGACTAACAACTTTGAAGTGGAGGTGAGACTGTGAGAACTTGAGCTTGAACTGCTACATTAGTAGTGAGCTCAGAGCTTTTTAAGTACATTCGAAATGAGCAAGGTATGGATGGGGAGGGATGTGGGGGCAATTCCGGGATTGGGGGTAATCCCAAAGCAATCTCCAATTGGTTGGTTGGAGATTGCTTGTTTATCAGATTTGGGTTTGGTTGGGATGTGGGTGCACACCAAACTAGACACGAGCACAAGGTCGAACACCTGTTCGGTTCGCCTCGAACATGTTCGTGGTGAACCAAACACTTTTTTTTTTTTTTTTGCCTAAAGTTTTCTGGGCGAAAATGTTCGTGTTCGGTTCGCCGCGGCTAGCCAAGTCGCGTCGAACACAAACACAATGTGTTCGTCAAAAAAAGTCCCTCGATCCTTTGTTTAGGTGAACAGAACACACTGGTCGAGCTCATTCCTAAGCTCGACTTTTGCCTAACCCCCCCTCCTACAGCCTAGACTGCAAGCTCCAATAACTATGGTACCTAAACTCTAATGAAATAGTTAGGCGGAATCAAAATCTACTCTTTGGTTTTTCATTTCCTCAACTCTCAAACGCCCACCAGGTATAGCCACACCACCCTTGACGCCAAAATCCACCATCCCTACACCCTGTGACTATAATGAAGGCTGCATACAGGCGAACACGAACATGTTCGCCCCAAACACGTTCGTGCTCAGGGTGAACACCAAACACCCCCTTCACCGGTTTGTGTTTGGCCGAACACGAACATGTTCGATTCGTCGAACACGAGTGTTCGAGGCAAGGCAAATACAAACATGTTCGTGTTGTTTGCTCATCCCTATACTCAACCAGCACAAACTGCATGTAAAAACAGTTGAGATTGAGGGCTAACTCTAACAGAGACACCATCATGACCAACGACTTTGAGATGAAGGTCAGGCGTTCCCTCTACTCCCTGCTTTCCGCCCACGGAGCACAAATTTATAACTGTTCTCTGTTGTTCAAAATATTGACCTGCAGATTCCGTGCTCGCCTTTCCGTTTCCCTCTGCTGCATCTGCCCGCATTGTGTTCCATGTGCATGTTGCAGGTGCGAGCCATGGCCTCTCTCCACCACGTGCATCTCGTGCGCCTGCTGGGCTTCTGCCTGGACCAGAACATGGGGACGGGCAGGCAGAAGCAGATCCTTGTATACGAGTTCACAGGCAACAGGGACCTCCACTACCATATCCATGCCACCAAGCGTGAGTTTCACTGCCGTAATTTGCACTGGCATGAGTTGCACTGGCACGATGGTGAAATGGTTGCCAGACATTGGTTTTTTTTTTGCATGCGTGAGTTGCACTGGCGCACTGGTTACCAGTCGTTATATATATGTATATATTTGGTTGGTTGTTTGTTTGTTAATTTATTTCGTCACAGAACATGACACCGTCTCTCATATAACTGCACATTATGCTCCATATACATGTTTCCTGAACCAGGCCCACTCTCTCTGCCCTGCCCCGCGTCGCGCTGCCCCGCGCACGACCTGCCCTGCCCGGCGTCTTGCTGCAGCTCGCGCCCTGCTGCCCTGCGCGTTGTGCCCTGCTGCAGCCCGCACGTCGCGCCATGATGCCTTGCGTGTCGCGCCCTGCTGCCTTGCGCGTCACGCCCTACGGCTGCCCCGCGCGTCGCGCTCTGCTGCAGCCCGCGCGTCGCGCCCTACGGCAGCCCACGCGTCGCACTCTGCTGCCCCGCGCATCGCGCCCTGCTGCAGCCAGCGCGTCGCGCCCTGCTGCAGCCAGCGCGTCGCGCCCTGCTGCCCCGCACGTCGCGCCCTGCTGCAGCCCGCGCGTCGCGCCCTGCTGCCCCGCGCGTCGCGCCCTGCTGCAGCCCGCGCGTCGCGCCGTGCTGCCCCGCGCGTCGCGCCCTGCTGCAGCCCGCGCATCGCGCCCTGCTGCAGACTCTCCACTTGGACGTGTGGGGCCCAGCCCGCGTCCAGGGACAGGGCCGCGAGCGATACTTTCTGCTGGTTGTTGACGACTACTCGCGTTACACCACGGTCTTTCTCTTACACAGCAAGGGTGAGGTCCCTGATGTCTTGATCCCTTGGATCCGCGCTGACCGTCTCCAGCTCCGCGAGCGGTTCGACACGAAACTTCCTGTCCTGCGTCTGCACTCTGACAGAGGTGGTGATTTCTCCTCCGACCTCTTGCGGGACTTTTGTCGTTCACGCTTGCGGTCTCTCCGCAGCAGAATGGGGTTGCTGAGCACCGCATTGGCCTAGTCATGGAGGTCGCTCGTACCTCCATGATCCATGCGGCTGACCCCCATTTTCTATGGCCGTTTGCGGTCCGGTACATTGCGCATCAGCTCAACCTCTTGCCCCGTGTCTCCTTGCCAGAGACCTCGCCGATACTGCGTTGGACGGGAGAGGTTGGTGATGTGTCAGTGTTCTGGGTCTGGGGATCTCGTTCCTTTGTTCGCGATACCTCCGCGAACAAGCTCTCCACCCGCGCTGTTCCCTGTGTCTTCCTTGGTTTTCCCCTTGACGCGCCTGGCTGGCAGTTTTACCACCCTCCCTCGTGCCGTGTTCTGTCCTCTCAGGACGTCACGTTTGACGAGTCGGTTCCCTTTTACCGTCTTTTCTCCTACTGCACTGCCCCTCCCCCTCCCTCGCCGCTCTTCCTTGCTCCAGTCCCCCTCCGATAGACCCCCTCCCCCCTCAGGGTCCTGCTCCTTCAGGTGTGTCTCAGGTACACCCACTCCCCTTGGTTGAGCCTGTCGAGGTCAGTGGTGACTCTGGTGCTGCTGGGGGTGCTGAGCCTGCGGGTGCTGAGCCTGAGCGTGCGGAGCTTGGGGGTGCTGAGCCTGTGCGCGCGGAGCCTGGGGGTGCTGAGTCTGGGGGTGCTGAGCCTAGGGGTCTTGCGTCTACACTACGGGAGCCTCTCTCACCACAGCAGTTGCACGAGTGGTACGCTCGGCGCTGTAGCCTTCGGAGTGGCGCTGCTAGAGCTGGAGGCCCTGGACCTACTAGTACTAGAGGCACTGGAGGTGGTGGAGTTACTAGTCATGGAGGTCCCACTGGTGCCTCGCCCCAGCGGTCTAGCCGGCGGGAGCCTCTCTCACCATAGCAGTTGCGCGAGTGGTACGCTCGGCGCTGTAGCCTTCGGAGTGGCGCTGCTGGGGCTGGAGGCCCTGGAGCTGCTAGTGCTGGAGATGCTGGTGGTGCTGGCATTGCTGGTCCCGGGGGTGCTTGTGCTGGTGGCACTGGAGCTACCGGAGCTGGTGGTGCTGCTAGTGCTGGAGGTGCTGGAGGTAGTGGAATTTTTGGAGCTGCTGGAGCTGTTGGTGGTGCTGCTGCTCGAGGTGCTGGAGCTGCTAGTCCTGGAGGTGCTCGTACTGGAGGTACTGGAGCTGCTGGAGCTGGTGGTGGTGCTGCTGCTGCTGGAGGTGCTAGAGATACTGGTCCCGGAGGTGCTAGTCCTGGAGGCACTGGAGCTGCCGAAACTGGTGGTGCTACTGCTACTAGAGGTACTAGAGGTGCTGGAGCTACTGGTCCTGGAGGTGCTCATCCTGGAGGTACTGGAGGCTCCGGAGGTGGTGGTACTGTCGGTACTGGTAGTGCTGGTGGAGCTGGCACTGCTCATCCTGGAGGCGCTCGTCCTGGAGGTTCTGGAGGTGCTCTCTCACCGCAGCAGCTACGTGAGGGGTACACTCGGCACTGCCGCCTTCAAAGAGGCGCTTCTGGGGCTGGAGGTGCTGCGGCTAGAGGCATGGGAGCTAGAGGTACTGGAGCGGCCGGAGCTGGTGGTGTTGCGGACTCTGGAGATGGAGGCCCTGGAGCTGTAGGCGCTGGAGCTGGCGACCCGGGAGCTGGAGGTGCTGGAGCTGGAGTTTTTGGAGCTACTAGAGACCCTGGAGCTGCTGGTACTAGCACTGGAGGTGCTGGTGCTGGAGGAGCTGGTACTGGTGGTGCCGCACCGCCGCGTCTGTTCTTCGTGTCAGCGTACTAGCGTAAGGTTTAAGGCCTAGGCTTAGGAGCCTAGGCCAACGTATGTCGAGAGAGTTTGTGCCAAGCGAGAGAGAATGGGTGGTTTCACTATAGAATGTGAAGAACATATAGTGAACAAGCAAAGGTGCACCACCAAACAAGCAAATATATAACTACACTAACACTAACTACAAACAGTTATATATACTATGCAAAACATAGTTTGTAAAAGGGGGTTATTAAGAGGGGTTCGCCACAGGTGGCTCCCCCTCACCTCCTCTCCTCATCCCACTCTCACCTCTCCCTTTGTAAAAGGGGGTTATTAAGAGGGGTTCGCCACGGGTGGCTCCCCCTCACCTCCTCTCCTCATCCCCCTCTCACCTCTCTGCCGTCTTCCACTTCGCCAGGTGTACACCTCCAGCAGCAGAGACCCCGCCAGCAGA